ATAAATAAATATAAATATATATAAAAAACAAAGGTCTGAAATCTTCCCAGATTCTGATCAGTGGATAAATGGACCAAGAATATGGTCTACATACACAATGAGTTTTTGTTCATTCATAAGAGTGAATGATGTACCATGTGTAATGATATGGGAAAACTGGAAAAATGTGTACTAAATGAAGTAAGACAGGCCTAGAAAGAAAGGATAAATATTTTCCTTTAGATATGGAACCTAGAATGAATATATAAAGTAAAAGCATAGGTGATATGCAAGTTGATTCAGATGTATTAACTGAAACACAGTAGATTCATTAGAGAATTCAAATAATGTAATTTCCTACAAAGGCAAAGTCAACTTTCTGCAAAATAAAACACCACAAAACAGTCACTCCAAAGGGGTGGGATCAAATCAGGGGAAAGGGGTGGACATATGAAGAGGAGAAGAGGAGAATGCAGTCACACATCCAATATATATATATACTTCAAAACGAAAAGATGGAAGAGGTGGATAGGGGAGGGATGAGGGAAACATTGAAAGGGATAAAATTGATCAAGTTATGTATGGTATTCATAAACTTCTTTGTTAAAAAGAAACTCCACTTTACAATGATTTAGACAATGTAAATTTTAAAAATAAAAATGAAATAAAATAAGATATTATATGTGTTTTGATGTTTACATGTACATATATACATATATATATAATGTACTCTTTTTTAAAGCACAAGAAGTAACATCTGTCAACAACATCCCTTCTTAAAACCATTACATACAGTTTTTATTATCCCATATTCACAAACATATATTCACTATGTTGGTTATGTGGAATCTGTTACATCTCCATTGACCTTCTTTCTATGCCACAAGCCATGACCTGTATTTCATTTCTGCCATTCATTTTGTTTTACATTTTTGTGCCAATACTATGGCTTGAATTTGGGGCCTGAGTGATATCCCTTTGCATGTTTGTGGACTGTACAGATTCTTCCAATCTGATGCACACCCATTTGTCAATGCTTTCTTGAGGACCATGATAGGGAGTTACTATAGAATGTGCCCTATCTCCAGCCCTTCTTTGCACTGAGTATTTCTATGATAGTATCTTGCTTTTGTTCTATGTCGATGCCTGGGCTCTAGTCTTTCTATTGTTGTTTGCTGCCGCAACTGGAATGACAGGCATATGCCTCAATGTCCAGCTTCTTCTATTTATACAGTATCTCAGGATCTTGTGTTTAGCCTGGGCTGGCTTGGAATCACAATCTTCCTGATCTCAGCCATCCTCATCAGCACACTCACATCAGCATACATCCATATAGACCTACACAGACACACAGACACAGATGTACATACACACACACACACACACACACACACACACAAATACCTTAAGAGGGTCTCATGAAAGTTGTGCCTAAGCCGTTTGTGAACTGTGATCTCAGTCTCAGCCATGTGAGCATGTTGCACTAATCATGACTCTCAATGCCTCCCTCAGTTCCTTAGTGTGTAGAGGCAACCCAAGACCTTTACCTGAGCCACGGTCCAGGACATATTCATCAAGTTTTGCTCTTCTGTCTTAAGCTATTGCATTACTCCTTAGAAAATCTTTACCTCTGTCTATTGCTTCAAGTGTTTCCGTTATTTTTCTATGTAGTTTCATATTTGAAGCTCTTAAGTTGAGGACTCTAATGGAATGACAGGGAACTATTTCCAGTCTTCAACAAGTGGCAATGCAGTTTCAAAAACAAATTTTGTAACAGAAGCAATCTTGTGTCCACTATATGTAAGTGGCCATGTTGTCAACAATCAGTTAACTGGATTGTTCTGAATCATCTATTATGTTTACTGGTTTCCATATGTTCTTGGAACCAATGTCAATGTGATTTTCTTTCAGTGGTTGTGTAATATAGTTTGAAATCAGTTTTCCCATATTTTCCAGCATTGTAAATTTTCCTTATGATTTTGTTTTTTCATTGTGGGAATCCAAATACATTTTAAAAGATTATTTTTTCCTAGGACAACATTGGAATTTGGAAAGAAAATGAACTAGCAAGTTTCTTTGTAAATCGGGCATTTCAAAAATATTCATTCTCATCCAGAAAAATGGGAAGTCCTTCCTGTTCTATTCTTTTCTCTGATTCTTTCTTCTACATCCTCTAGTTTTCAATTCTGATAGTGGATTTTTATGCTGTAGATTTAATTTCCCTTAGACATCTTTGGAGGCTGTGGCAGACAAGTGTGTACAGAGGTGTTTTTCTTCATTAGTGAGTTTGTGTTGGTGGAAAGCCTTCTGCTTGTATCTTTATGGCATTGAAACTGACATATCATTTACGAAAAGAGGATGTTTACCTGGATATGGTATCCTTGAATCGATCCTCTAATTACAATACCCTCATAACTTTAGTTGACAACTCAGATGCATAGACTTTTTCTGGCCACTTCACCATTCACATGACATGATATCATCCCATGCAATCCAGTTGCATCATCCCAAATAACTTGCATGCAAATAGTCTAGACACTTTGGACAAACTCCAACCAAGATAACTCCATCTCTGGAGCCTCACTAAATGTGGTCTTAGATGAAATCACAGCACCTGCAGTGAAGAAGACAAATCTGAAAACATGTTTTCTAACTCATGTTTTTCTTCCTGATGTAAGGCTACAAATACAGAGCCCCTGGGAATACTCTTATACATTACTTCTGGGGACTAACAAGAAGCTTTGATTAGAGATGAGTTATACTGTAGATCTCTGTCAATAAAAAGATACATATGCACTTATACATAACCAAAACTCTGGATCTCACTTCCTGCCAGCTTTTCTGCTTGGCAGAGGATTCAAGGATGTGCCCTCTAGCTTTCACACTCCTCCTTCTCTATCTTCCTCTCCCTGTCAGGTCCTTGGCTAGCACTAGCTGCTTTTCAACAATGAAGCACAGAGCACACATGGATGGAGATGTGATGATCACTGGGTTTTTCCCTCTCTACACTTTGGGAGTAGATCACAGTAACAGCCATGCTTCCAGGCAAGAAGAGAACAAGATGTAAGTACTTTCATAATTTATTTCCATTACTGTTTTATTCTGAGGATGGTCAATGGGTGAGGAAACTCAGGTTGCACACATCAATGATCTCTCTCTCCTCTACACTGACCTTGATCACTATTGCATCCGGTGCAGCTAAGTTTTATAATGTTGTCTTACATCTCCTTTTGACTGATTTTCTGCCTTCAGGCAGGGGAGGACTCCATTCACTTCCATATAGCTTCTTCTTTCCAGGTCTGTAATTTCTTTCCTTTACTATAACATCCCTGTATCTCTTCCATTTCAGCTGTCACTGTGGAATATGTAGTGATGTAACTACAATCAACCTGAGTCACTGGCATGAGTTCTGTATTAAAAGGCTGCCACTTCATTTCCTTATTCCTTATACCAGTGGTCTGAGAACTTTTCTTTAGTAACATGTATATTTTGAGAATGTTAATAAAATTTCTTTTGGTGGCTTATGTCTGTAATCCTAATTATTCATGGAATTGATTTTTGAGGATGGAGGTTTGAAATGAGCCCAAGTAGGAAAATCTATGTGAGTATTTTTAATTGTGTCTATGTGACTTTTATCTCCAATTAAACAGCCAAATGCTGGAAATGATTTTGTGTCTCAAGTGATAATGTGTGAGCCTTTAGCAAAAAAGCACAAGAACCGTGCCTAGGCACTGATTTCATGCCCTAGAAGTAGTGTGCACATGTGCATATGCACAAACACACACACAGTTACATATATACACATTCTTAGCACACAGGAGCAGTTTCTTTTACAACTTAAGCTTTGTGGCATTGTTTCATGTCAGATAGGCTCCACAACACAGGTGTTACCAGGAAGATCAGTGTTATGAATGATTTCCTGTGGAGGCATTTACCTGCCCAAGTTAAATTCTATAGCTAGGATTGCTGGTATTATCCACCAGTAGAGATAATTTTAATTTTGAATAATCTCTAAACTTTAATTACTTTATACCATTACCAAGACTGTAATTTTTCTCTGGGGTAATAAATAACTAATGGGTGTTATGAATACCCAAATGATTGAATATCAGTTTTCTGTTGTGATTACCTAATTTTTACTAGTCTGTTCCTTGATTGGATTTTTTCTATCCTAATATTTAATTTTTAGAACTTTTCTCCTACATTATTCATCCTCTGTGAGATGTATAGCTAGCAAGATGTTTAACTGCTCATTTGGCTTTCCCACCATTTCTTTCACTGTGCTGAAGCTTTTCAATTGGATAAGCACAGTTACTTTACAATTCCAGTGCTTGGGTGGAAGTTATGGCCTTGTATATGGGACAAAGTATTCTCACATTTAATCAAACCCAGAGAATATTTCTTCCTTTTCTTTTATGAGCTATTGACTTTTGTTGAAGTTACCTGTGTATTTATATTTCTCCTCATTTTCACTTTACTTGCAAAGTTCAAGTCTCTATTAAGAACTAATCAATTTTGAAATTAAAAATATATGGTCCAGTTTAAGTGTTTCACACAGGCATGCCTCGTCTCACAATGCCACTGCTTGCTAAGGGTATCATGTTTGGGCATGTGTTATTTGACACCTTCTCCAACAATCAGATATCTATTGTTTACAATTACTTTATGGCCTTATATTTCTTTGATACATGTGTCTGTTATTATCAGAATGTTTTCTGCTATTATAATATTACAACAGGCATAAGGATGATTTCATGTTGTTCTTGTGTCTTAAAATAGCTCTGGCCTATGGAGAATTTTCTTATTCATAAAATTCAATTTTGCCATTTTTCTGTAAAGGAAGTGATAGGAATTTTTATATAGACTGAATCTTCTATGGATGTTTTTTCAGAAATACAGCTAGCTATTTATACTATAGTGGTTCTGGCATGCAGTATAATGGAAGGTGTGCATTCATATGTGGTATATTATGATTTACACATTTTATGGTTAGCTAATTTTACTTCTGTTCTATCACCCTGTTTTTCTTGTAGAACCTCCTTTTTGCTTTATTGATTATTGGCATTTAGTTTTTCGTCTCTAATTCTTTTTCTTCTACTTTCATTCTTTGTGCTAATTTTGGGTTTGTTTCTCTAGTTGCTTGAGATTCAGCATAGATTCTTTATACAACATATGTACTCCTGATTTCATCAACGTGTTACAGTTTCAATTCTTTGCTCTTTTTCTATATCTATAGATTCTGATATTCTGTTTTTATTTATATTTGTTCCAAACATCAGTAAACTTCTTGTATAGTTATAGATATATATAAATATACAGTTATATACCTGTTATTTATACATTATATATAATATATATTGTATTTGTAATATATTATATAATATATATACTCTTACGAGTAAATTTAATACATTTTCAAATATTATTTTCTTTATATAATTGTACAAAGTAGTTGTACAGAGCAGTTAATGAATACAGTGTGTCTTGATCAATGTCACACCTTTGAAGATTCTCACCCACCACACCCACCACAAGCCCATCCCTCAATTTTCTTAAATGTACATTATGTCTTGGATGTTTACCATTTAACATAGAAATATATGTATACAAAGCATCCGGATCTATTTCACCCCTTCAATGTGCTTCACCTGTTCTACCTAGTCCTTCCCCTATTTACCCCAGTTCTGTGGCATATACAATGCATACTTAGCTGCGTTTTACTCATTTTCCACATCCTTGCTTCTATTCCTCTGCATTTGTCCTTCCACAACCCACCAAGCACTCATTTTGTTGGCCTTTGTCTTTATCTTGCTAAGGAATTATATTATTTGTGCTTCCCATAGATTCTATTATATTTTGGTTAATTCATTTACAATTCCTTGGGTGCAATCCAGTTTGCTTACTTCGAGATGTATAAGATACATACTAGTTCCCATTAAGGAGGGAAATCATGCAACCTGTGCTTCTCTGGGTCTGGATTTTTCACTTAATGTAATCTTCTCCTAGTCATTCCATTTCTTTACAAATGGGATGTTGAATCTTGGAGGAATCAACATTTTGAGCTCCACATATATTTTGAATATGCGACCTTTCTCTGATGGATACCTGGTAAAAATCTCCTGTTCTGTGGTCTTTCCGTTGTTCCCTACATGGTTTGCAGAGCAGAAAATTTTATGTTTGGTATAGTCCCATTTATCAGTCATTGTAAATTTTATTTGTTCTGATTCAGGAATTTCACCTAGAAAATTTTTAATCTGTTTTGAGGGGCCCTCCTCTGCCTGAAAAAGTTTGAAGTTTTCTGGCTTTACATTGTGTTCTTGGATACAGTTTAAATTGACGCTGGTGCAAGGTGATATATAGATATCTAGTTTTAATTTTCTACACATGGATGTCTAGTATTGCCAGCATTATTCTTTATGCCTATATTTTGGCCCCTTTATCAAATATTTGAAGGGTATAGGTCTTTAAGATCATTTCATGGTGTTCTGTTCCATTGCTTCTCTGGCTTGTCTTTTTGTCATGCTGTTTTCATTACTATGCGGCTCTAATAGAGCTTGAAATTCAGTATTGTCAATTGTTGAACACTTTTCTGACCACTAAGAATAGCTTTGCTTTTCATGGTCTTTTCTAATTCCCTTTGAGTTTTGGATTGCTTTCTCTGTCTCTGAATAATTTTGTTTAGATTTTTGGATATTGCATTGAATTTGTAAATTACTTTGGACAGATTTTCCATTTATACAACATTAATTTTTCCAGCCCAGGAACACAGAATATCTTCTTATCTACTTAAATTCTCCTTGCTTTCCTTTTTCAAATTGTTAGAATTTTCATTAGAGTGGTCTTTCCAGTATTTGTTCACTCCCAGTTATTTTATATTTTTGAGACAATTGCAAATGGGGTGCTATTTTATTTTATTTTATTTTATTTGGGTCCGGTTATGGGGCCTGAACTCTGGGCCTGGGCGCTGTCCCTCACCTCTTCAGCTCAAGGCTAGCGCTACCACTTGAGCCACAGCGCCACTTCCGGCTTTTTTCTTTTTGCTTATATAGTGCTGAGGAATTGACCCCAGGGCCTCAGGCATGCAAGGCAAGCACTTTACCACTGAGCCACCTTCCCAGCCCCATGGGGTGCTATTTTAATTTCAGCGTTGAACTTTGTCAATGGCAAAGAGAAAAGCAATTCATTTTTGTGCGTTGATTTTGAACCTGGCTATTTTGTCGAAGTTCAGGATCAATTGTAGTAGAAAAGGAAGAGGAGATTTAGGATTCCCTTAAGTACATGATCATGTCATCTATACAAAGGGATGGTTGTACTCATCCTTCCCTATTTGGCTCACCAAATGCTTTACCCCTGCATACTGCTCTTGCTACAAATTTTAATACTATATTGAAGAGTAATAAAGAGTGTGGACATCCTTGTTTCCTGAATTTAGAGTAAATATCTTTAGTTGTTCACCATTAAGCATAAAACTGGCTGTGGATTGTTCATACACAGTCTTTCTTACATTGAGGAATGTTCCAAAGATTCCTAGCTTCTCCAGACCTTTCATCATGAAAGCGTATGGATATCAATTAAATATTTTTTCTGCTTCCGTTGAGTTAATCATGCAGCTTTTGCCCTTGCTTGTGCTGATGTTAATTGACTTGCATATGTTAAACCAGGTTTGCATCCCTGGCATGCATCCCTTCAAACATAAGGTATGATTTTCTGCATCAGTTGTTGGGTTCTATTTGCCTTTATTTTGTTGAAAGGTATTTTATTAAGATTAATTGAGGAGAAAGATACAGAGTTGTTTTTTCTCACTGTGGCTTTCTCTTGTTTGGAGATGAGTGTAATATTGGCTTCATAGAATGATCAGTGTTCCCTCCTTTCTATGTCATTAAAGTGTTTGAAGAGTACTGGTGAAAATTCTCCTTTAAAAGTCTTTTAGAATTCATTTGTAACTCCATCAGGTGCTGAGCATTTCTGGAGAGGGAGGTATGTTATTGCCAATGCAATTTCCTTGCTTGTGAATGGCCTGTTTATTTTATTAATGGAAATTTACTTTATTTATCATATATTATTGGTACTGTAGAGTTGATATGTAGAGGGTTTATAAGTACATGAGTAATGAGTACAATTGTTTTTGAATCTTGTCTGTTCTTTCAACACGCTCTCCCTGTCTTTCCCAGCCATATCACCCACAACATATCCAGTTCATTTTCTACATAGTTTCTTTTGAATATCACTGTTCATTCTATCCCTCTGTTTCTCTGATTCCCATTCCCTTTTCAGCTCTCATAAACTTATAGAAGAAGAATATGGGGACCGAAATCACAGGGAATAAACCAGAGTAGAAACAAACCACAGACAAAAGTAATGTTCCCAAAGTTATTAACACACTTCTGGGAACATTACTTTTGTCTGTGGTTTGTTTATGTATCAATTGACCAATTTTCTTCCTCTGAGAAGTCTTTCTTAAAGTCTTTGGCCCTTTTATTGATTGGGTTGTTGACTTGGAAAGTTTCATTCTGTGCTATTAATTTTTGAGATCTAGGTATGTGTTAGATATGACCCCTTTGTCTGACATAGAGCTAGTCAAATTTTTTTCTCCCATTCTGTGGGCTATTCAATTATCCTCCTAGCTAAGTCTCTTGCTATGCAGAATCACTTCAGTTTAATACAGTTCCATTTATTCAGTCTTTCTTAGATTTGTTGTGATTCCGGATCTTTGTTTAGAACTTTTACCATGATGCTATAAGGATTAGATGTTTCCCTAGTCCTTCCTGTAATATTTTCACAATATCTGGCCTTACATTGAGATATTTGATCCATTTAGAGTTCATTCTGATGCAGTGTGATATATGGATATAAAGCCTCTGTTTTCTGCATGTAGATAGCCAATTTTGCCAGCACTGTTCTTGTAAGATGCTATCTTTCTTGGAAGCTCTGTTTCTGGGTCCATTATCAAATATTAGGTGACTATATGTTTGTGAGATTGTTTCTATGTCTTTTGTTATGTTTTATTGGGCTTCAGGCGTTTTCTTGTGCCAATACCAAAATGTTTTTATTACTATTGCTCTGTAATATTCAACTTTGGTATTGAACTTACTACAGCACTTTTCCTCCTGCTAAGGATTTTATTTTTGCTACTCTAGATCTTTAACTATTTCATATGAATTTCTCTCTTTCTTGAAGAATGTTGCTGGAATTTTGATGGGTATTGAATTGGATTTGTATATTGCTCTAGACAGAATTGCTATTTTCATGATGTTCATTCTTTCATACCAGAAGCATGTGATATTTTCACATTTCCTAAAGTCTGCTTCAAGGCCTTTATAAGAGTTTAAAACATTTTCACAATATAGATCCTTCCCATCTTTGGTTAAGTTAATTCTTAAGTATTATTGTGAAGCTATTACAAATGACATTGCTTTCTTGATTTCAGTACCAGTCTTCTCACTGTTGCCATACAGGAAGGCTACTCATTTCTGTGGTTTGATTTAATATCTCGAGTTTGTGGAGTATAGAGTGTGTTCATATTTGAAGAACTTATAGATTCCTCCTGTGAATACATTTAGTCTTGGGGTTTTCATGAATGGGAGGGTTTAGGTCATTTCAATTGCCTTAACTGTTATTGGCTATTAGACCACCACCTGGAACTAGTCATCCAAGGAAGGAGTCCTCTAGAAGGTACTCACAGATTCCAGTGTCAATTTTGAGCTGGGTATCAGGAGTCTTCTTTTTTTTTTTTAATTTTTTTTTTTGGTCTGGTCGTGGGGCCTGAACTCTGGCCCTGGACGCTGTCCCTCAGCTCTTCAGCTCAAGGCTAGCGCTCTACCACTTGAGCCACAGCGCCACTTCCGGCTTTTTTCTTTTTGCTTATGTTGTGCTGAGGAATCGAACCCAGGGCCTTGAGCATGCAAGGCAAGCGCTCTACCACTGAGCCACCTTCCCAGCCCCCAGGAGTCTTCTTGAGGGGCCTCTGTTTCTGGATGTGGCAGTCTAAATCTCCTCTTCCTTTTTCTTCCTAGCTATACATGATAAGTACATTAAAATGACCCAGAAGAAATATTTTTATCTTACTGCTTATTTCACTTAGCATCAGCCTATAAGATCATATATATATTGACCTCTTCTGCTTGTCCTAGACATTTACTAGTTATTGCAGAAAAGGAAAACTATGAGATCTATGTTTCTCTGAGTCTGCTTACTTCACTTGATGTAATTTTTCTAAGTCTTTGTATTTCCTAACAACTGGGGCAGTGTCATTCTTTATGATGGAGGCATAAAATTCCATTATATATATATATATAAAAAATCTTATATATATATAAAACATTTTTGATCCATTCATCTACCGAGGGACAACTGGGTTGGTTCCATATCTTAACTATGGTGAATAATCCTGTGATAAACATAGTTGTGCTGGTAGCTTTAGTATAGCCTTGTTTATGATTGTTTGAGTAAATGCCCAAAGTTGGGATTGCTGGGTCACAGGGGAGCTCAATCTTCAAATTTTGAAAAATCTTTTTCATACATCTTCATTCTTACATTTTATTCCTCCACATGTGTATGTACAAATTCACTATTGTCTTCTGTCTAGAGCATTTAAAATATGACAGACTTTGTGATCATTTCACATATACCTATAGTATATATTGAACATTTCATTAGTATACCCATTGTGCCTTCATTGTTTCATTTTAAACAATACCAAGTGATTTCATTATATTACTTTCTTTAGAATATGCCCACACTCAAGCTTGCATGTAAATACACACAAACACACACAGACACTCACACATACCTTGTCGCACACAAACAGAACACGGAAAAAGAAGGAAAAGTACTTTGATTCTCTTTATTTTGCTCTATTGTTTCCTTTCCAGTCTCTAATTAAACATATTGGGAAGAGAGTAATGAAAAATGAATTTAACCATGGAGGCCTTGGAACTGAGCTTTCTATGCAAACCTTACCTACGATTTTCTCCTCAACCCTCATGCCATGGGTTTCTTATTTCAAATTGACTTCCTTGAAATTGGATGCATCTTTTTGTTTTGTTATATAAACAAAAATTAAATCTCCACCAACAATAGTTTAGCTCTTTTTCTTGTTATCAGTAAGAACTATTCAATATGCTGGTCTGTGAGCAGAGCTTGCTATAAACTTATTCATAAATAACACTTTTCTTCTGAACATTGCAGTCAAATTAAACATTCCGTAGTTAGCCTGACATGCCAAATATATACATAATATAAAATGGGTGACTGGAAACACCAGAATCATTTTCCACACTGGTATAGCTAATTTCCCTAATGTAAAGGCAATACAACATTTGGTGTCTCATGAAAACTGAATCAAAGACAAGAGAGTTTTGCTCTAGTGCATGCGGTGATAGGGAAAACAAGCTCTATCTCGACTTAAATAACTTTACGAATCTCATTTATGACAAATGTTCTTCATGTCTTTTGTAGATCTTTACACAAACATAAGACACTGCATTCACATTAAATTCTAACCAAGCATTTAAGGTATTGAAGTCTTAAGTTTTGAAATATTCCTCCTCAATTTCTTTGCTCATTATACAGCTTTATGTTCAAGAACTATCAGTTTGTTTTGGCCTTGGCTTTTGCTATTGAGGAGATCAACAAAAATCCTGATCTTTTACATAACTTGACTCTGGGATATGATATCTATGATGTTGAATTAAGAACTTGGACAATGTTTAAGAATCCCTTCACTTGTCTCTTTGGGAAGTACAAGATTCCAAACTACTCCTGCATTCCAGACAGCATGACTATAGCAGTACTTACAGGACCATCAGGAATAACATCTGACCAGATTGGGACATTGCTAAGTCTCTACAGATTTCCACAGGTGAGGTGAAAAGTGTGGAAGTATATAATGATGTCTAATTTGGTGGCATTTCAGGTGATAGAAGAGAATGATAGGAAGAGATTCTTTTTATGAACCCATCCATTTTTGTAGTATCAAAGAGTATTTACTCTAATATAGTTGGAAATATATATTTGCACACTTTGGAAAAAGAAGATTTGAGCAGACAAATGGATAATTCACTGTTTCAATTGATAGCAATAATTTTCTTTAATGAATCAGGAAATGGAGAGGACTTTGCAGTGTACAGAGTGAGCAAGGTACTTATGACTCACACTATAATCTTAGCTAATCAGGTAACATGTATGTCTAATTAACCTGCAAAGGGCACAAGGTGAATATGTGACTCCATTGGTGCAGCACAAGTCTTGAGGAAGATTGCCAGTGAAGTGCAAGAAGTTATGAATTTGTGCCCTTGTACTGGCATTCATGTACTCACACACACACACAAACACACACACACACACACACACACACACACGAAAGATACCATGATGAATGAAGTAAATCTGGCTCAAAACAAGAAAGGGTAAATGTGTCCTGTCTTATATGAAAGTTAGATCTAAAATATGAACATTTAATATGAAATATGGAAGATGCACATAGCCACTTACATATATAGATGATCAATCTGACTAAAGTATGATATACGTAAGGGTGGAACTCCATGGTGGAACTTTTCTGATCTACTGACAGCATGAAAAATGAACACCAAAACATGAAGAATATCTTGTCTGAGGGGGTAGGTGTTAAGGGGAAAATAGAAAGGAATATAGAATCAGTTGTTGGTGAAAAGAACCATAATATACAATTGCCATATGTGAAAATGGAATTAGGAGTAGGTGATGTTGATATAGTTGAGAAGAGTTGATAGGAATAGTGTTGAAGATCAAGAGATAATTACAAGTCAATTGATAGGTTGTGTAAAAACAAACTATTTTTTTTCAAAACTGAAATAAAACCTGCCTTCCACCTACTTCAACTGTTTTTTAACAGACTTCAAGACTAAGATTGTGATACATGGCAATCTTCTCATTCATGAAGTGTCCAATTTTCTTTCTCTTTAGTTTACCTTTGGGCCTTTTGATCGTAGCCTGAGTGATCATAACAAGTTTCCTGCTCTCTATCAGATGGCTCCAAAAGATACACCAATAGCCACTGCCATGGTTTCATTACTTCTTCATTTCAGCTGGAACTGGGTGGGACTGTTGACCTCACAAGATGAGAATGCTTCATGGGTTCTTGCTGAATTGAAAGAAGAGATGGCCAAGAACAGAGTTTGTATAGCCTATGAGCTAGTGATGTCAACCCAAGACACATCACATATATTCAAACTCGTAGCAGTTCATAATGAGATAAATATATCTTCAGCAAGTGTTCTCATCATATATGGTGATAATGATTCACTGATGGGTTTAGTGGTATTTATCGAGCAAATTTTTATACATGGCAAAGTTTGCATTATGAACTCACAGTGGGATTTCACACTGAAAAGGAGATATTTCATGCTAGGCTCATTGCATGTACCTCTTATTTTTACACACCATTATGTAGATGTTTCTGGATTCACAGATTTTATCAAGGCAGCTAAGCCTTCAAAATACCCAGAAGACATTTTTCTTGCCAGATTGTGGTTTCTGTCTTTTAATTGCTCAGCTTCTGAGTCTGACTGTGTGACATGGGACAACTGTGTTCATGATGCCTCTTTGGATTTGTTGCCTGTGCATATTTTTGATATGACTATGTCTAGAGACAGTTACAATGTTTACAACGCTGTGTATGCTGTGGCCCAGACTCTCCATTTGATGCTTCTTCATCAAACAGAAATTCAAACAATGGACAATAGAAAAGAAAAAGTGCCTTCCCCTGAACAGGTAATTTCTTCCATGTTGGGGTACACACAGCATGAGCAAAGGCACTTTCTAGAGGGGTTCCTTAATGTATGAAATTAAATATTTTTTATGTATGTATGTGTGTTCCTGGATATGTATATGCATATATTATGTGTGTTTATATTCACAAATATGTATGTATGTTTTTATTCATATGTCATACATAACTTGGTTGCTGAAATTAATGAATATATCAATATTTAAAGTAATTCTCTCAACTCTTACACTTTTTACCTTCTAGTATTAGAAACAACCATAAACACAAAAATTGAAAAAAATGTAGATTCACATTTTATGTATGGATATGCTGTTAAGAAAACAGTCTGCCATTAACAAGGATAAAATATATTCCATCTTTCTATAAATTAATTTTGGCAAGTGCCTGAGTCTCTTTATGCTCAAAGCTAGTGCTCAACCACTTAAGCACAGCATTTTTCTGGCTTTTTCTGAATTGTTTATTGGAGACATGATTCTCATGAACTTTTCTGCCTAAGCTGGCTTCCAAGCATGATTCTGAACTGAGCCACCTGCATAGCTTGGTTTACATCCATAAGCCAAGAGGAACTTGCTCATGAATTCCATTAGTTACTAATAACCTCAACATGTTCATAGCTAGTGTTTTGAAAACTTTAAATAGAGCTTTTCCCTATGACTATATTCAGTCAAATCATAGGATAACCAAATGAAGAAAATTATCCATATTTTTCATAAGTGACCAAGTTTCATTCAACTTTTGGCATTAACCATCTAACAACCACAAATTATAGACATTCATAAAACAGTGGTTTGGGTAAGATGGGCTAAATTGATTTCTCTGGAAAAAAGTCTTTCTACTACTTTTCTGAGTGATCAGGAAAGAAGTGATTATTTTTAATTCCTCCATAGATTTTTCTTCTGAGATACTTCATTGTGTGTCTCTACTCTTTTTGAATTCAGAATCAGAGATTAAAGGCAATCAGGAGTATTTCTTACTTCATGTTTTCTGTCTTAACTCTGGGATTCACTTAACCACAGATGATGTCTCTCTTTTAGCTGCACATTTTTCTGAAAAGCATCCAGTTTTACAATCCAACTAGAGCTCAAGGAATTTGGGATGAGAAATCCAAACAGGAGCCAGAGTATGACATTCTGAACATTTGGAATTTTCCAGAAGGTTTGGAACTTGCAGTGAAGATAGGCAAGTTTTCTCCATATGCTCCACATGGTAATCAACTATCTTTATCTGAAGATATGGTAGAGTGGGCCATTGGAACTACAGAGGTGAGTTGGATCTACCCTAATAATTTTAAGCACACACAAATCAGCAAGAGTAACCCTTTAAATTTATACCTGGCTGAATGCCAGCAACTTTCTCCTATAATCCTACCAATTAATAGAGCTTATATGGAAATATAATAGTTTAGAGTCAGCTCAGACAGGAAAGTCTGTAGGAATTTGATCTCCAATTAACCTCCAAAAATCTGGAAGAACTGTGACTCTGGTAGTGGAATGTTATCCTTGAGCTAAAATAGCTCAAGTCCAGTGCACAGGACTTGAGTTCAAGCCCGAGGATCAGAACCAAAAAAGTGAAATGTGTTTCTACATGTTGATTTTGAATGTTGTAAATTACATTTTTCCCAGTAGGTATCTAACACTGTGATAAAGTACCTGAGGAGTAAATTCAATTGATTGAAATGTTTCTTTTGCTCCTTTCTGTGGAGGTTTATTTAATGGTTAATTGAGCTGCTATTTAACTATCTTTGTTTAGAGGAATCATTGAAGGAATCTGTGTCAAGGGTCTCATGTCTTGGTCACTGGAAACAATGAGAAAGATGAGGTGACCCGGTGTTCACATAACCCTATAAAGTTGAGGTTTCCTCCTTGCTCTTCCCCATAGCACAGATGACTAGGAGACAAGTGATTTTTTCTTCCCCCATGGTATAACTCCTGTTTTCACTCTATTTGCTTCAGGTGCCCTGAGTCCTGTGTGTTTGTGTGTGTGTGCACGCACGTGTAAGTGTGTGTGTGTTTCTAATTTGTGGAGTGGAAGGAAAATAACAAAATGTTGAAATAAGGATACAGGTTGACCCACTGTAACAATAAGATGTACAAGACACTATGTTGAAAAGTAACTTTACAAATTGGGCGGGGGAGGAGGGAGGATTTGGGGAAGAAAGAGATAGTAGTGGAAAAACAAGGAGGAGGTTACAATGCTTGATATACAATGTGGGGCTAGGAAGGTGGCTCAGTGGTAGAACACTTGCCTTGCATGCCTGAGGCCCTGGGTTTGATTCCTCAGCACCACATAAGCAAAAACAAAAAAAGCCGGAAGTGGTAATGTGGCTCACATGGTAGAGCGCTAGCCTTGAGCTGAAGAGCTGAGGGAAAGTGCCCAGGCCCATAGTTAAGGCCCCGTGACCAGACCCCACCACACACACAAAAAAGACAATGTTTTTTCTTAAGTTTATTTTTATTTATTTTTTATTGTGAAAATACTGTACAGAGGGGTTACAATTACATGGGCAATATAATGAGTACATGTCTTATCAAGCATTGTAGCCTCTTCCTTTGTTTCCCCTTCCCATCCCTTCC